GTGTGTGTGTGTGTGTGTGTGTGTGTGTGTGTGTGTGTGTGTGTGTGTGTGTGTGTGTGTGTGTGTGTGTGTGTGTGTGTGTGTGTGTGTGTGTGTGTGCTGGTGCGTGCGTACGTGCGCGGGCCTGCGTGCGCATGCGTGTGCTGTCATGCGTGAGCGCAATTGTGTTCCTGCGCTTGCCCGCGATTGCGCTAAGGCTGGCAGCCCTGTTTGCCTTGAGGGCGTGTCCACGCTCGCGAGAACCGCCCCGCGTGCACGGCACGCTCCCTTGCGCATCGCCCACCGCCTCACTCCAACGCACACGATGTCGCCAACGCCGGCTCCTGTCACAATCAGTTTGCCGACGGCAGCTCCCAGTGGCGAGACTCCCATGGCCACGTCACCGAGGCGCTGAAGTCTCGCGAGGGCACCGCGGTCGAGCTGCTGGCCTTTGCGCCCGGCGGCGGCTACTACATCATGTGGGAGGACGGCGCCTCGAGCTGGCTGGGCCTGCTGCGCGGCCTGGACAACCAGCTGATCGGGCGCCAGAAGAGCCGCGCACGCGTGGAGTTCCTGGCGGTTGGCCCTGAGGGCGAGTGGTTTGTGCGGTTTCTGGACGGCGGGTGGAAGGCCGGTGGTCTGGCCGAGAGGTGCAGCGAAGTGCTGAACGACCTGCACACAAAGGGATGGTCAATACAGAAGGTGCTGATTGGGCATGATGAGAGCTGGGTCATCGTCTACTCGTAGCTTATCACAGGTATGAATATGTGCCTCTAGAGTTGGCCGGCAGCAGCTACAGTCGGCATAGCCGCTATGTGCATAGTTGTGCGGGCTGCTCACGAGAGTTCCTGCATAAATCACCCTGCCCTGGTCGTCAGGCCTGCCTGCGTTTGGTTGTACACGTCATCGTCGTACTTTGTCGTCTGTGTTTTGATAAACAACGTGCAGTAAGACTCTTTGCCCAGCAATGCTCAGTCCATGGCACAATCAGGCGTCGCGGGCAGGCACATGAGCCAAGGCCAGCCTCAGGGTCCACATCACATGCTTGATGAGGAGGCCCTGTAGGTGTGCCGCGCACTGAAACCAGCAAGCTGCGGCAAGTATTGACAGCCTGCTTGGCATCAGGCAATGTCGAAGTGACGATGCGCGTTCACACTGAGAAGTGCAATATGAGGTGACTGTCCGTCTGCCGCTCTAAGTGCCGCTCCCAGTGCCCCACTTGCCGCAAGCAGCTTCTCACCAACAGCCTCCAAACGCTTCTCAGGCCCATTTCGCCGTTTCCAGCCGCTCCGACGTTGCTGCTTGCTGCCAGGCATGCAGCCTACAAGGGACCACTGCCGTGGACGGTATGTCTGCCTCGGCCAGTCACAAAGCGCTGCAAATCACCTTGGTCGGCTTAGTTGCCAGAGTTCATGGCCGTTTTAGTTGTATCCGTGTGTAATAATATGCAATTACAGCATGTTGTCGATCGCTTCGGCCAAGCTGACCAGCGAGATCGCCTGCTGTCAAGCCCACGCTCGAGTCGACTCCGACCGAGCATTTCCATTGGTGCAGGTGTCTGCCGTCTGCGGCTACAACGGTCCATGATGCTGAGTCGAGAGAGCGCTTGGCGCTGGCGCACCACCAACCTGCAGTGCCCCCTCAAGCGCCACTCTTGCTTGCCCACTGAGCGCCCCAGCCCCCGCCGACCACCAGCAGAAGCGGCAGGCCACCAGCACGTGTGCACCGCCGCGCCACGCGAACTCATGAACAAGGCCAATGTGCGGCGCCTGGCCGTGCGCTGGGGGTGGGAGGAGGTGCAGCACAACGCAGAGAGCCGTGTGCTTGGCTTTGTCAAAGGGAAGCACAGGGTGAACGTCTACTACACCACCGGTGAGAGGGCAGTGGCAGACAGTCCTGCCTATCAAAAGGGTCACAGGAGGGGCAGGAGCAGCATTCAATCACCTTGTGCAGGTGCCCTTCCACTGCTGACAGGACGCACATCCTCACAAACCACCGCGCCCCGCCGCCCCAGGCACTGTGGGCACGTGCGTCAACTACCCGCGGCAGGCAAAGATGCAGTTTTTCCGCCACAACCAGACTTTGGCGACGCTTGGCAACAGATTCCAGGACCCGCGGGTTGACACAGGTCAGACAGCCACCCGGCTGCATGCGATACAGCAAACACTTGGGCAAAGCGCGCAGGCCACCGGTACCTCGGGGCTGTGCATTCAGGCAGACAACCTTGCAGCAGCTGCTGGTGTCTGACAGACCAGGTAAACAAGAGGCCACAAAACCCCGCAGCTGCATGCCGGCACGCCTGCGCGCCGCCACCCTTGCAGGCCCCGGCTACTACCGCCGCCACAGCCGCACGCGCCCGGAACCCAGCCAGAACCGCGCCTGCAGTGGCGTTTGGGCGTGCCTGGCAAGCCAAGAAGCTGAGGACCACCTCTTCGAGCAGTGGGACAGTACGTACACAGTAGTGCTGGCGCTGGGCGCTGGCTACTTCCTGGTCAACCACGATGGCAGCACTGCGTGGGACGACGTGCCCATTGAGCTGCACAACAAGGTCAACGGCCGCCAGAAGAGCCGGCCGCCAGTGGACTATGTGGTACTGGGAGAGGGTGACTACTATTTTGTGCAGGTGAGGCGGCCTCACATGCTTGCGTATGCACGAGTGTGCACATGCGTGTTCACCTGTATGTTGTGGTGGGCACACATGCAAAGGGGAGGTCTACAAGCACCTAAGCGAGGTGCATATGTGAGCGTGCATATGCACACGCATGCATTTGCGAGGAGGTGTACACCTGCGCAACATGCTTGCCAGGAATCCTGCCAACAATTTACCAGCTAGCATGCCTGCCACGCCCTTGCGCACGCGTGCCCCATCCCTGCATGCAGTTCGCCGACGGCAGCTCTCAGTGGTCCGCATCAGAGGCCCTCTCCAAGGAGCTGCAGTCCCGCTCGGACTGTGATGTGGAGCTGCTGGCCTTTGCGCCCGGCGGCGGCTACTACATCATGTGGGAGGACGGCGAGTCGTGCTGGCTGGGCCTGCCGCGGGGCCTGCACAACCAGCTCATCGGGCGCCAGAAGAGCCGTGCGGGCGTGGAGTTCCTGGCGGTCGGCCCCGAGGGCGAGTGGTTTGTGCGGTTTCTGGACGGCGACTGGAGGGCCTGCAACCTGCCCACGAGGTGCAGCGACGTTTTGGATGAGCTGGGAGAGGAAGGGCGCTCCATCTTGAAGGTGCTGTTTGGGCATGATGGCAGCTGGGCTATCGTCTACTGATAGCACGGCATGCAGGGGGCCTGGTTGCCAGGAAACAGGGACGACTGGCAATGCCGAGTGTGCGGCACCCTTACTTGTTGACCCGATCATGAAGTTCCGCCAGTTCTGCTGTATGTGCATCAGCTCGTGCTGTTGCTAGCAGGGCGTTGTCAAGTTTTGTGTAGTGTTCGTCTTGCAACAGGACCTCCACACCAACGGTGTCCGCGGTGATTGGAGACCCATCCCCCTGGCAGTGTCTGCTCGCACGGCTAGCACCTGGCACCTGGCACGCATCGGCACACGCGGTCGCCTCAAGTGGGCCAGCTATCCAGCCAGTACATCGTGACCGGAAAGAGCTGGGCTGTCGAGCTCTCAGATGGTTGAACCTTGAATAGACTGCGCCATACCACCTTGCAAGATGCGAAACTCTTGACTTACACTGCAAGGCGCTCAGCATCGACATCGATAGCGGTTGAGATAGGCTGCAGAATTCACTGAGTTAGTCAACTCATCCTGCTGGCGAATGCACAAACACATCTAGAGGCAGGCGCACATACAAACAAATCTGGCGGCTGGTCACCTGCAAGGAACGACATGTAGGCTGCGGGATGCACGCTGTTGAAACGCTACCAGGCAATGCTGCTGTGAGGATCGCATGTAGACTGCACGAAAGCACACTCAGCCACCCGCCGTGACAACTTCATCGCCGCCACCCACCCCCTGCCCGCCGCGCCTGCCGGCGCCGCTGCCACTGATGCCGCCGGCAGCGCTGCCGCCGCTGCCCCCTCGGTTGCCGATGGACTTGTTGCAGGTCTTGTGCAGCAGCCGCGCGTTGTCGCGTGTCGTGGCCCCGCCCTTGGAATAGGGCACTGCCATCACAGCATGACGTCAGCGGCCGTGCGGAGGCGGATGCAGTGAGGCCTTGCATTGCCAGCACAGCACAGGTTGCTTCAAACATAATAACATGACCACCACCGCATGAATTAAGCCGCCACGCCGCCACACCTTTCTGAACAAGAGTTTTAGCAATCAACGTGAGAAGGACCGAGATTATGTGGGCATGCACCAACCGTCCCCTACAGCGCTCACCCGCGTGGTCGACCTCTGCATCGTCGATGTGCTGTATGCTGTTGCCGCAGTGGGCGCAGGTGGGGTCGGCGGCAAACAGCTCCCGTCTCAAGCTGGGGTGGAAGGCGCGCGCGCCCTGCTGGTCCCTGCAACACAAAGAAACGAACAGCGGGACACGCGCGTGTGTGTGTATGCAGTTTGTCAGCCTGTCCAGCAGGACAGCTGATGGTGGCCCTGTGCCCTTGCACGCAACAGAGGGGGGTCGATTGGCACACAGCAGAGCAGCCGGCTGGGAGGCAGCCCCGCCTGAAAAGGGCAGGAGTTAGGCAGCCTCAGTGAAAAAGGCAATGCAAGGCGAGAAGCAGTGTGCTGCTTGGCAGGACAGGTTACAGTAGATGGTTAAGGATTGCTCTGTCCGACGGTCCCGCGGATGCACCTGCTGCATAGGCGAAACAAGCCCTGCATTGCGGAGCGCACCCGCCAAACGGCCCGCTGCGCATGCCCTCTCATGAACCTGAACCCCAAACCCTCAAATACAAACTTTCAACCCTGAAACCTCACACGAAGCCGTCGGGCGGCAGGATGTGTGCCTTGAAGAGGTCGCGGCGCAGCATGATGGAGGCGGCTGACAGGCGCTTCTCCATCGCGTCCAGCCACTGGGGATTCTGCCTGCGAACCAGCCCGTCCCAGCAGGACCAAGGCGGCGTGAGCACGGACGAAGGAATCATTCCGCCGTTGGCAGACACAGCATCGATCCCGACACCGCTGGCCACGTCTAAGTGTGCAACTGCAACCGCGCTATTGTGCAGCCCGCGTGCAAGAGCTCCACAGAGCGTGCCAGCGGCGCACCAGAGCTGCTGGTAGGCCGCCTTTATGGCGTCGCCGCGCTGCTGCAGCCGCGGCCTGCCCTGCATCTTCAGCGCGTCCGACAGCACCACCATTATGGTGTCCTGCGGATGGCACAGGCGCACGCAGCAGCGGACGGGGACACGCGGGCGTTTGAGGGGGCGGGACGAGAACCACACTGACGCCTCGCGCGGCTGAAGCCACGATGCAACTGAGCGGTGCCGCGCTGGTTGCATGTGCTTGTGTGTGTGCATACGTACGTGCGTGCGCGCGTGTGCGTGCGTGTGTGTTTTGTGTGTGTGTGTATGTGTGTGTGTGTGTGTGTGTGTGTGGTGTGTGCGGTGTTAGCCACATTCCCCTTGTGTGAGGAGTAGGCAGGTGGCTTTCCCGCGTGTCAGCAGGTGACACTGTCACCTGGCATGCATGTGAGTACGAGTGCACACAGCCTGGGACTGGATCAAGAGCTGTTTTCCCAAATGCAACACAAGTGCACACAGCCCCTGTCTCCGCAGTTTTGCCCCCACTCACCCAAAGGTATGGGTGTATGTTGGAGGTCGGACCCTTGCTGGACGCCTTGGCCTTCTTCACTGTATCAACACCTGGGTGCCTGGGCAAGAGTAAGAGCAGGCGGGCGGTTGGGCGCGGCTGGTGCTAGGTGGTGAAAAAAACTGGCTACTCATACTCAAGTCATGTGGCCATACGTGCACTGATGCCAGTGATCCTTGCTTGGCATGCAGGCTGGGATTGAGAAGGGGGAATGTGTGTATGTGCCAGCATCAAAAAGATCCCCAAATTCAGGCAGCTGCTGTCCCAGATGACAACGGCGCCACAGCAGCGAGCAATGCACCGTGCACTCGCTTGCTGCGTGCACCTGAACGCGGAGTTGCCAAAGATGGCCCGCGCCACAGATAAGGTGGTTGAAAAGTCCCTCGAAAACGCGGCCGTGTCGGCGTTCCGGCGCTGCTTGGCTTCGGAGTTGAGCCACTTGGTCAGGCTGAGTTATGCTGAGTCATGGTCGGGCAGCATAAGCGAGAGGCACCAGGATTTGAAGTTGGTTGAATGACAAGCAGAACAAATGGGGGACGAAAACGCGTAAACGTGCAAGCACCGTGCCAACGGGGCCGGCTGCACAGGGGTAAGCACAAGGGCCGCGCGCAGCCAAGGCGAGAGGGGCGCCTTTGGCTTACACACACGCGGCCGTGCCGCCGTTGGTCCCTCGGCGCGCACCTGCCCTTGAAGTCATCGCCGCCGTTCTTCATTGCAAAGTAGCGCAGCACCAGCTCCCGGTCCACCTCCTGGGGGTAATGATTGTGCAATTGATGGTGTGGAATGTGACTAATGTTCAATTACCGCACCCTACATCATCAGAAAAGCCACAAGAGGAGGGCTGGCAGTGGTTGCAGTGTCGGGGCCGCGGTGACGAGGAGCAGTCGCTCGGTGTCACCCCATGGCGCCGGTGCTGTCGCAGGCAGAGCGTGCATCCCCACAGCACCCATGCACAAAAACCTTGACTTTAATCACTGACAGCCGCGCCCCACGCCACAGGGCGAGGCGGGGGCAGGCCGCCGCGCTGGATCGCGCGTCCAGCGTCCAAGGGGGGGGATCCAGATCAATCTTTCTGTATGAGAAAGGAGGTGGGGCGCGCCTTCTTGTCATCGGGGTCTCCTCCCCAGACCTCCTTGAAATCGGGAGTTTTTATGAGGTCCTCCAGCAATGACATGTAGGACCCGTGGAACGCCGCCCTGCATGCGGGCGGGCGCAGGGGCACGAACGCGTCATCGCTGCCGTCATCACTAGGAAGGCGGCGACCCCAGCGCTGGCACGCGTCGCCTGGCCTCCCCACCCTCCTGAGAGCATCGGTCGGGCGTTGGTCGAGCTGCCGCACACGCGTGGGCCGGGCGCCGGGGTGCGGCAGGCCCGAGATCGATGGGCGGCCGGAGGGGCGAAGCTGCGTCCGCCTCCCTCAGCCTCATCAGCGTGGCGGTCACCGCCCCCCCTTGCGTCAAGGATCCTCCTCCCATGATCAAGTACGCCCTCTCCCATGACTCGCTTGTAAGATGGCCCGGGGCCACAAGGCGTCACAAATGGCATGCTCACTTGCGGATCTGCTGCTTGGTGTGGTCTCTGCCGCCGCTGTTCAGGTCGTCGTAGATCTTGAAGATGACCTGTTAACCGCCGCATCACCCCATGTTGACCGTCAGTTCATGATCAATTTGGGCAGGTGGCTCGAACGCATGCAGAGAGGCAGTGTGCAGGTGGCCTCTGCCAGTTAATAGGTGGCGGCGGAGACGGAGCCGCCGCGCCACGCCGGCCACAAGCAAGCTTGTCGCTGCTGAGCTTGGTCGCATGCGCTTTGGGCCAAACACAATTTTCAATTGGTCCGTGCGGGGGCGTCTGTATGGGGGCGTGGGGGCAATCATGTTTAGCCGACGGCTCACGTCGGGGTCGGTGTCGTTCGTGATGATGACACAGTGGAGCGTGTAGTTCTGCGGGGCGGCAGGCGTGGGTAGTTGCGGGGAGGCAATCGGTTGACAAGGAAAGCTCAGAGCAACGGGTGTGCGGGCGTCTAGGGGCGGGGGCATTGCGGCCTGGGGCCATCGGATGGCCCTAGATTGAGCCCGCCTGCCCGCCTTCGACCCCAGCACCTGCATGAGCCCTGAAGATCCCCTGCCGTCCCCTCCCTGTCCTCGATCCACACCCCCCTTGCTCTGTGCCCTCCCCCCACACACAAACCCACGAGACCCCCTCCCATCATCCCACACCCAGCTTTCACCTATCGACCCTTTTTCAAAGCCACCCATAATTATAGCGTGCACTCACCCCAAACCGCCGCTGCCACTCTTTACCCAGGTCCTTGTAGGTCTTCCCATGGAACCACGCGTCCTCGTCATCGTCATCATTACTCACTACCAGCTCCACCGGCGCGTGCTCCCACAGCCGCTCACCTGGCAACAAGGCGCGGGCCGGCACACGCGCGCCCCCAGGCGCGGCGGGGCAAGGCGAGGGGCGTGGGGGAACTTGCGTGGCTGCCGACAGTGAGCCCTTGCTGGACCGCGCATGCGCCCGCCACACGTCGGGATGCGCGTCGCCGGTTGCCGTCGACGGCCGCGCCCCGGCCCCGGCGCTCGCCGCGCGGGCCCGAGCGCCGCTCGAAGCTCAAACCGCGACACTGTTGCGGCCCAGGGCCTCGCTGACTCGGCAGGGCGGCGCGTGCGCGTGCGCGTCGGCGTCGCGCGCGCGGCCGCACCGTTCAGGAAGGAGAGAAGGGAGGCCAGGCGCTGCTTGCCGTCGATGGGGCTGTAGCGGCTGTCCGTGGTCTCCTCCAGAATCACCGGCTGCACCAACCGCTCTCCCAGCACGGTCAGCACCAGCCCGCTGGCCTCTGTGTGTGTGTGTGTGTGTGTGTGCGAGTGAGTGTGTGTGTGTGTGTGGGTGTGTGTGTGGGTGTGTGTGCGCGCGTGCGTGTGTGTGTGGGGAGGGGGGGGTGCAGGGTTCATGCGGGGTCGCGCATGAGGCGGAGGCGCCGGGCCGGAGGCCCGTGCCGCGCGGCGTCCGCCATCTAACGGAAATCAGTGATGCGTGCCGGAACGTTCGTCGGTGACGGCCAGGCAAACATTTATGTGGGCAAAATGGACGATCGGTCCCATTGGCCCCTTGGTCCTGTGGCCACACACTCAGAGCCCGGACGAACGGCAAGGGTGCAATAACCTTGGCTTTGTCCCAGACGTAGTCTCTTTGATAGGAGGGATGCAGATTCAGGTCGCCCCGCTTCCATTGGCGGCTAAACTCTGGGCAGGGGTGGTTGGGGATAGTGGGGCGCGAGGAGTGTTGTAAGGTCGAGCGGGGTTGAGATGGGTCCTCCAATCGCGGGCACGCGCTGCAGTTTGCACTAATGCTTCGCACGCGTTTTGCGATGATGCTTCTTGGGCCGTCCGCGGAGCGCCCGCGGGTGTGCGGCGGGGCCATTTAGGGGGGCCTGCCTTCGATTGAGATGTCCTTGGGCTGCGTGATAGGCTTCTTGGGGCGCGGCGGCGGGTCCACCTCGCCGTCGCCGCCGGCCTCGCCCCGGCTCGTAGCTCCAAGCGCCACGCGGAAGCCGGCACGCTGGGTAAAGGGCGGCCCCGCCGCAGCGAGCGCCGCGAGGGCGCCGACGCGGCCTGCAGGTGCGCACGCGTGCCGCAGAGTCGGGCGCTCTTGGATGAGGCGGTTGGGGCAACGGGCGGCTGCCCGGCTGAGGCTTGCGGAAAGCACAAGAGCTCTCATCCCTGAGGCGTGCAGCCCCTGGGTGAAGCGTGGCGTCGGCTTCCCTGCTGTGCTGTGCTGGGCTGCGAACGAACAGCAGTCCATGTTGTTGCGCTGCTGTGCCCCTGCGGCCGGACAGTGCAGAGGCTATCCAGGATATCTTGAAGATCACCAGGCCGACCAACAGTGTCTGTGAAAGGGGCCCACGATTTGCAATCTCGTGATAGATCACGCCTCAGATCTGCAAAGAGAGCTGTCGGGCTTATAGGACGACATTCAAATACTTCCGCCGTCCTCGTATTGATGGCTCGATATCGTAATTCGATTAGCTTTGCTGTTGCTGAAGCCCGGGGCTACGGTAGACACCGCCACCAGAAGCAAGCCGCCTTCAAATTGACCAGGCTGCGGCTGCATAAAGCCCCCTGGCCTTTTGATTCAACACCCGCCAAACAGCACATTCCTTCACAAGAACTGTTCGAGCACTGCGTCCACCCCAGCTACATCCCGCGATGACACATCAGCAGGCGCACTGGATGAGAAGAAGGGGTGGGGGCACGTGCATGTGCGCAACCTGTGCAAGCATACTGAATAATTTCAACCTCAGCGACGAGCATCACCAGTGCCAAGAGGGATGACAATGGCAGCATATGAATACATGTGCGCTTTGTCACATAGTTGAGGTGAGCGCGTGCCCCATCTCACAATCCTATCAGGCGTGGGGCGAACTGCATGGCGCCGGCGAGCGTCAAGGCAATGGCCACCTGTTCCCTACTACTCAATTTGCATTAGATCCATGCTTGCTTGACATTCTGTGCGCTTGACTGCTCCCAGCCCATTTGGGATCCTCCAAGCCAGCCCCCGCGTGTTGCGAGCCGCAGCCATGAAATGAGCATTGCATTGCCGTTCACAATGGGTTTTTATCAAGACCTGCCGGCGATCACTTGGTGGCCTTGTCAGCTCATTTGGAGGCCATGAAAAATTACAGCCGCAAATCTAAAACCGTGCTGCCGCGTAATGTGTGGGAAAAGTATCGCTTGAGCCTGTGCCAAATGAAATCCACAAGGCAGCAGCCTCGTCGGGATATGCAGAAGGGCAAGAAAAGGCAAGCCTTGGACACCGCAGCTGCGTTGCAACAGAGCAAACACGCACCGGCGTAGCACGAATTACAGCCGCCTAGCAGGCGTCCCTGTTGTGCAATTGTGCACTTTACAACAACACACATGTGCACGTGAGCGCCTGTGCGTCGGACCTCATCGAGGCAGCCATTGCAATATGACAGCCGAGCCATTGCAATATGACAGCACAGCCAACCATGCAGCGAAGAACGCCGGCAAGGCATGAGGCGACTCTTGTGGTAGGGGCACCAAGAAAATACACCCCTACATCAGCGGGACAAGTCTGGCTTTCCCCACAACCGCAACCAGCTACGGCCCCGACTCGGCACAAGCACGGGTCATCCGGCGGCACAAAGGAGGCGGCCCCACGTGGCGTCCCAGCAGAGGGCCCTCGCAAGCAGCGCGCTGCTGCGGCCGGCGGCCTGTGCCGGCGCCTGCGCCGCACCACAAAACGTCCCGTTTCGCCTGGGACGGATGAACACCAGCGTGGCTTTTCACTCCGGCAGCGCGGGCTTGGATGTCCAGTCGAGGAGCTCGCCGTCAAAGCTGAAGCTGCCGTTGGGCACCTTGTCGCCGGCCGCCAAGACGATGGAGTTGGCGCCCTGCTCCGAGGTGCGCGGCGGCTTGATGCCAACCTTGTCGCCCGACCCGTTGCCCATGTCGGTGGCGCTGCGTGTGCCGGGCGCAATGGCAGCCGTGTGTGCGGGCAGTGAGGGTTTGTGCCTTACGAAAGTAGGCGCGCTGCCCATGTCAGTGGCGCTGCATGCGTCGGGCGCAATGCAGGGAAGGCGTGTGGGTGGCCAGTGAGGATTGGTGCCTTGCAAGGGAAGATACGCTTCGACTTTGCGGTACGCAGGCAAGGTTTACAGGCGTGCCTGTGCCGCATGCCAAGCCTAACCTGCAAAGCAGGGTTGGCTGCATTGCATATGACAATGGCAACCCAAATATCAAAGCCAAGACACAGCATGGAACGCGTGCACTCCGGCACAGTCATCGCAGGACTGCACCGCTTTGTCAGCATTCCGACAGCGCTCTCGCAGATCCCGCTCGCCTTCCCGCACCCAATGACTCACCACCAGCCAGGGCAGACCGCGACCACTGAGGCATCCTTGGACTTGAAATCGGGGCTCTCCGCCAGTAGCTGGGTCGCCCTGCATGGGGCGAATGACGGGAAGCCACGTCATCACATTGTCATGCGCAAACAGAGCGCGAAGAGGGCGGGGTTGCAGGTAAGGCTTGCGCTGCATATGAGGGGCCCGCCGACAGCTGACAGTTGCAGTGCCAACGAACCCTGCAGCAGGCATCTTGTGTCTATCTGACTCATGTGGTGTTCAGGGCAAGCGGCTGCGGCGCTAGGGCCGTCCAGGGGTCCACGACGGCGCCCGTGAATCCAGACGCAACAGGCAAAGCGCCGACACCCACGCACGCATTTCAGGGTGGCCCAGTGGGCGCACCTGATGAGCGCCGCTTTGGACACGCTGTAGGACGGCGCGATGGGGTTGCCCTTAGACAGGTCATCAGAGTCGAATCTGTGGGCAGCCGCCCTGACGTCATCGAGGGTGGCTGCGCCCTTGATCGACGCCGCGTATGCGGGGCCGATCATGCCGAGCATGCCCATCTCTGGAGGGGCAAGGGCGGCGCGAATGATGTGATGATGCGGGGCCGCTGTCGCACGGCAAAACGCACGCATGCCCATCAGGCACATGCAAAGAGAACCTAATCAAGAATCACCGCTCCCTCGTCTGTCCCCGCTACAAGCAACTCAAAACCCTGCAATCAACAATGAGCTGGAGGCCTGCCAAGCAACCTCACGTCCCTGAAGGAATCAGGCACGGCCGGAGGGCTTGCAACAAAAATAACTGCACAAGCAACAGCACGGCGTCACGCCATGACTCACGTGACGCGACCTGCACGACCCTTGCGCCTGGCGCCAGGTGTGGCAGCAGGGCCAGTGTGATGTCGATGGCGCCGTCAACATTGGTCTTGAGGATGGCCTCGTGGTTGGCGGGCGAGGTGCCGTCGCCAACAATACCTGCGTTATTGATCTGCGTTTGTGGGCACGCATGCATGTGTGTGTACGTGCGTTTGTGGATGTGTGCGCGGGGCATGCGCGCGGCTTTGCCGCTGTGCGGGCAAGGTGAGCCGGCGTGCGAGTGGGGGCCAGGCATGCAGACAGGAATGCGTGCGAGCAAAGCGCACGTGCACGGCGTCAACAGATAAGCAAAGGGTTCTTCAGAGAGACACATGAGAAGCAAAACCGGGTCCCTCGCGCGACGTGCTTCCTCTGACCCCTGGGCAGCTAGATGGATGTCTCCCCTGATCGAAAATCCGGCCAGAGGGACACCAGACGCTCACCAGCAGGTCGATCTGGCCCTCATACTTGGCCTGGACCTGGGCAGCCAACGCCTTGATGCTGTCAGGGCTGCTGGCCTCGAGCTGGAGCAGTTCCACCCTGGCCCCAGGGGCGGCGGCGTCAGACAGCGCCTGAGCGGCCTTCGCGCCTGGGGGGAGGACGGAGCGCGGCCGACATGGTGGGAGGGGGGTGCCAGGTGCTGGTGGTTGGCGTGAGGGTGATATGGGTCGGACTGCGGCGCAGGACCTGCGCAATGGAATTCATGCATGCGTCAGAGACCTGAATGTATGGGCTAGGGGTGCCAGCCGCAGCGAAAGCGGCAACTTCTGGGAGCCCAGCAGCGCCGCTACTTGGAGGGCGCAGCGAGCGCGGCGGGCTCACCCGCGGCCTCGTTGCGCGATGTGATGATGACGGGGCGACCTGATGCCAGCAGCTGCTTGGCGGCGTCGAAGCCCAGACCGCGGTTGGCTGTTGCGTCATGGGTGCGGGGATGCGGGTTGAGGAGCAGACGTCAGTTGATTGGTGCTGGATATGGTGCGGCTTGCTTAAGCTGGGCCCTCGCGCTCTGGACGGATCGCTGCAGCCGAGGCTAGCGATAGATTGAGCAAAACGATTCCATGCATGGTGCGCGGACGCACCTCCTGTGACCAAGGCCCACTTGGGAGACGCAACCATCGCTGCTGCCTGGCTTGGGGTGGCGGAGGTGGCGGCGGTGCGGGGGCAAGCCGTGCAGGACACGCTGGTTGCCGAGAGGAGAATGCACTGCTCGATTATGTGCGTCGATTCACGCCTCGAACAGAGATCAATGCCGGGAATTTCAACGATTGAAGCGAAGGCCCTCGAGTGTAGATGTCAATAGTTTATGGTCAAATTATTTTGCTGAAGCAAGATAACAGAGCAGCGAACAGGGAGCAATTGTCATACCGCCACAATAAAGGGATGACAACTCCCGGGTGACGAAACCCGCCGCGTCCCGACCTTGTGGTGCTCAATCCTTCTAAAATAATAGTAGTGGCTCAAAATTATTGCGCGGAAGCTTCCTGAAGGGCGCAGGCCGTACACGTGAAGTCCTGTTTTGACCAACTCAGAAGGAGGTCAACGCAACCTCGCATGGTCCCCATCGCCTTATGTAAAAGGGCACAGGGTGCGACGGCACTTGTTTTGTTGTATGAGTCCTATCATGAAAGGCTCACGCTCACTTGCTTTGCAGGTTGCGGCGGGTTGCATGACGGTCTTTCAAGCCGTGCGTGAGTGCAGCCAACGGCCTTCCCAATAAGAAGTATCGTATTCGTGGCCAACCCTTACCATGTGGGCTGATCTTAAGCTGATGTGGGTTGCATTTGCCTTGTATGCACACGCGGCAGCGAGGGCCCAAAAGGCAGCGGTTGCAGCAGTGATGAGCCAGACGCTGCGTGCAGCAGCCACCAAATGCAATATGGTACCGTAGTAATGCGGTGCTGATCCTCTCAATCAAGCGGCTTTAATGCGCGTGGCAGCGCTGCATCGAAATGCCTTGAGCTGAGCAGCGTGCTGTTCCTTTCGTCACCTACGGTGAGATCATTGTTTTGACGGACCGAGCGTGAGGGTATAGAAATTTGCATGATGTCAATAATGCCGCTCGCGCTTGCTGATTGGCATCATTTCAATGATCACTGCAGCCCGTCGTGCATTCGCACCGCTCCTCGCACGTCACTCGCGCACCCAAACACAAGCAGCGCGTGCCGCTGCTGCTGTCGCCCCTCGCGCGCTGCCCACTGACGCCGCCATGAGCAGAGCTGTGCGTTTCTCAGAGTTCGGCCCTCCGGAGGTGCGTGGATGGGCTGCTGTTGTGCCACGACAGCGCCGATTCGGCCATGGGGTGTGTGGCATGATGTCGTGCCGCATGTGCATCCTGGTGTGGCCACGCTGGGATGCCCACCCAAAAGCACATGAGGCAGGAGCAGTTGCCACACATGACTGGGCCAGCGGCGCAGTCCAATCGAGACCAAGGGGTGCCGTCCTCAATCACGGCGCTCGCCCCCTCGGAGCACTGGCACCACAAGGGCAGCCATTGCCGCAGCATCCCCAGAAAGGCGCTGCCGGGGCGAAAACCCAGGATTCTAGCCAAAGAGCCTCCGCACGACATCCCATCCAGCACGCTCCGCGCCTCTCAAACTGCGGCCGCCGCCGCCCTCGCCCGCGCTTGCATTTCAGGTGCTGAAGACTGAATCGGTCGAGCGCCCTGCTGTTGCGCCGGTGCGTGCGGAGTTGTCCGTGTTGGGTGTACTCGCCTCGCCCTCACCGCCGCCGGCACAGTCAGATGAATGGGTTGTCCGCTGTATCATGGACGCGGCCTCGTCGCAGCAACTTACAAGGCCCCGCCAAGCTGAGCATATCAGCGAAGAGCAGCGGTGTCGCGCCAACGAGGCAGGGGTAGCGGCATCGCCTCGTGTTTCATCAGCGGCAGACCTTGCCGGCCACCCGATGCCTCTCACAATGCCTGCAGGGTGCCTTCCTGATTCGCAACGAGAGCATCGGCGTCAACTTCATAGACATCTACTTCAGGTGACTCGTCGGGACTGATGACTCATGCTCAGGGTCACTCCGTCGAGTGTGAACGAACGGCTGTTGCGAGGTCCCGCAGACGCGCGCGCACCGACTCGCACGCACGCGCGTCCCCGCCCCTCGGCCCGCAGGACCGGCCTGTACCCCGCCGAGCTGCCCAACGGGTTGGGGGTGGAGGGCGCGGGCGTGATCGAGGAGGTCGGGGAGAACACGACACACCCCCAGGTGCGAGCGCATCCCCAGGACCCGACACCTCTCGGTACCGCCGGCTCCCGCGACGCCGTCTGACGCCTCGCGCCCCACTCTGAACACAAGCAAACCTGCTGCTCCTCGCCAACACACTCAAACACCCCATCTTGGGAGCCCCATCTATGTCAAACCGCCTCATCTCCCCCTCGCCTCCGACACTCGGCCCCCTCGCCGCTCCCTCGCTTGACCCCAGGGCCTCAAGCCGGGCGACCGCGTTGCCTACATCTCCCCCGGCCCCCGCCTGCCGGGCTCCGCGTCCTATGCGGAGTACTCCTCGGTGCCAGCGGCCAGCGTCGTGCGGCTGCCTGAGGGCGTCAGCGCGCAGCAGGGGGCGGCGGTGCTGCTGCAGGGTCTGACGGCCAAGTCGATGATCGAGGTGACGACTGACGTCAAGAAGGGTGCGCGGGGGCCGCGGCGTGGCGTGGCGCTCAGGGGTGCTTGCATGGGTGATACGTTACTTGTGGTGCAGGGGTTTGAGAGGATGGTTGGTCTGGGCGCTGGTGGCGGGCTGGTGTTCATTTATGGGGGAGCGCCAGAGGGCTGGGAGGGGCGCAGCCAAGGTGTATACCGTAATTGTGGAATGGCAAGCCAAGTGGCTGGGCAGCTGAATCCAGTTGCGGGGTGTTTGATTACCTAATCATTGACAGCTCGCACCAGGGGCGGGTAGACCCTGGGTTTGGTTGTGCAGAGCTGGGAAAGCAATGTGAACGTTTCGGGGTGGACCCGCTGTGTTGTCTATCAGGGTTCAGCAAAGCTCCCTCGTTAGATACCTGGAATCACACTGACTGTTACCTGCCTGCCTCACTTCAAGGCCCTTGAGGCAACTTGACATACACATGGACCCTCACCACTCTCTCACCCAGGTGACTGGGTGCTCATCCACGCGGCCGCCGGCGGCACAGGGCAGCTGCTTGTGCAGGTGTGCCGCCGCCACGCGCTTGCCTGATGCTGCTTTTGAAGTATGGCGCTGGCGGTGGTCGGCGGGTGTGCACATGTGATCAGGTGGTCGTGGGCCAGCGATGCATACGCTGCGGAAGCAGGCGGGTGACGCTTCAGTCTCATTGTGCGGTTGCGCCGCTGCTTTTTATGATAACAATGCTGCTGATTCAAACGCGCAGATTGCCCATCAGCTGGGGGCGAGGGTCATTGCCACGGTCTCCACAGAGGAGAAGGCAGCCATAGCCAGGTGACTGTTCGCGCGGACGGCAGCGCCCCCGCGGGCGGCTTAACTCTCAAAACCACCTGGCGCGGGCGGGGGCGAGCCCGACCCAGGCGCCAGAGCCGCGGGGCCGCTGGTTGGCTTGATGGCCTGCGCCGCGCCGCTTCACGGGCTTGGTGAGGGCACCTCCCAACAGCTTCATGCCACCCCCGCCCAAACCGCCCCGACCTGGGCGCCAGCCCACTTCATCCATCAAACACCCAACTACCCGCCACCGACCACTGCAGCAGTCCGCTCACCCTAATACCAACACCCACCCATCAATCAACAAGCCATGAGCCTGGTTGGGTCTAGAAGCAGGCAACCATGGTTGTTATCTAAACAAATGTTTTGAAAGCTTAACACTCCTGTTCCTTAGACAAAACGAACGCGCATCATCCCTCTGACCCAGGTCCCTCGGCGCCGAGGAGGTCATCCTCTACGGCCGCCCCGGCATCGACGTCGCCGTCGAGGTGCAGCGCATCACCGGCGGCAAGGGCGCCTACGCGGCCTTCGACGGCGTCGGCCAGACCACGTTCGAGGCGTCCCTGGCGAGCCTGGGCTACCTGGGGTGGCTGGTGTCGTTTGGCAACGCGAGCGGCAAGGTGCCACCAGTCGACCTGCTGAGGTGGGCGGCAAGGCGGCGGGGGCCATGCAGTGCAATCACCAGGGGCCGGGCCGCCGCCCGAGGCTCTTGGGTGGACGTCTGGGGAGGGCGTGGGCGTTTGTTTTGAGTGCTGGCATGGGTCCAGCTTGGCTTGGGAGGGGGGGCTGCCGCCCGTGGGCTTGCTGAGGTGGTGAGGGGCTTGGGCATTCGTTTTTAGGTGGTGGTGGTGGTGGTGGTGGTGGTGGTGGAAAGGGGGGCGCGTGCAGAGCCAGGTCCATTGTTTGATAATGGTGGTGGTGCTTTAGGGCATCAGCACGAGGTAGTGCCGGCTCGTCGGCGCGGCCGGGCCGGTCCTTCTGCTGCTGAGCCAGCCCCTGCACTCCCTTCCCAGCAGCCCGCCACGCGTCAACGTCAACGCAGTCACCCTCGACAGTCGCGGGCGTGCCATCTGCAGTCCCTTTGACAAACGCTGGTGGGCTGTCTGCCCCTCTTGACAGGCTGAGTGACAAGGGCATCAGGCTGCTGCGGCCGTCCCTGTTCTCCACCCTCAAGTCGAGGGACGGCCTGTTCCTGGAGCTGGCTGAGAAACTGCTCGCTGACGTGGCGTCCGGCGCCGTCAAGCAGGGCGTGCACAAGGTGCGGCAGGGGATGCTGCAAAAAAAATTGTGTTGCCACTGATTGATTCTGTCCGTGTATGGTGTTGTGTCGACTTCAACCGCGCCCTGCATCAAGGCACTCCGCACAAGCCAGACGTCCTTTCAAGAGTGGTGAAGCTTTGGCTTGACCAATCACTAGTCAATGGATGCTGCTCAAATCCCTCGAATGTTGGCGCCGTGCTGCAACCAATTGAAGGCCCCTCGTGCAAACGCTCACAATAACAGGAGTACCCCCTTGAGGAGGCGGGCCAGGCCCACATCGACCTGGAGAGCCGTGGCACCACCGGGAAGCTGCTGCTCAAGCCCTGACGTGTGCAGTGCGAACAGCTTGTCGTGCAGCCCCCATCGCCCGGCATGTTTCTTGTCTGAGTGACTGGGGGATACACCGGTGCCTTGGGCTGGGACACTAGGGGTTGCGTGCACCAGTTTCCAAGGGGAGCAAATAGCTTAAAATGAAAGTTGTGTGCCACATTCACAGTTTATGACGCTGGTGTTGCGCCATGCTGGTGATGCGCCATGGATGCTTACTGGTCAGGCCTGTTGTATGCGTTGCTCTGCCCTCTCGCTACGTGTGCGTTTGCTGGCGGGTGCCACCGCATTCATGGCAGTATGTTGGATGTGCAGAGCTGTGCGACAGCTGCCGCTGATCAGACGTTGTGATGCATGGCCGTCCAAGTAGCTGGCCGTGAATTGAGAGCTCTGCTGCAGACCTGCATTCATGGCCCGTTGATTGGCCTTTTGGTGTCATTGTTTGGCGCCAGATCGCCACGTTGTGTAATTTGGACTATCATTGCAATTTACCGGTCACCCGTCTGCAAACACTGGGGCAGAGAGGCATGTCGTAGCCACCTTGTTAATTGTGGTTGCTTTACATCCAGTGTGGGTGCCGAGGTGAGGAGCTTCCGAGCGTTTCTGGGTCTGCAGGCAGAAGAAAACGTGAGCGACGCAAGGACACACCCGGCAGACCAGAACGCTAGCAACAGTGGCGCTGTGAGCGGTCTCAGAACCCTCACTTTACTGCAAAACGCAAGTCAGGGAGGGTACCGCAGCCTTGCAAGGCTTCATCATTGCTCCTCCGCAGCCGTCAAGAAACAGCGCCATGGGAACAGCACTGCGATTGGAAGTAGCTTTGCCTGCCCCAGGTGTGAAGGATTGCAAATTGAGCGTGTTGAGAGGTCAAAGCTCTGTGGTCATGAACTTCCAAAGCAAGTTGCTGAGCAGCAGGTTGTGCAGCATCAGCACGCAGATGGCAGGTGTGCTCCAGCAGCTGACATTGGCAGCTTGGCCTGGGCATGCATGAGTGGTGGGTGTCTCGCATGGAGGGCACGGCACACCACGTGACAAGGGGTCCAGCCAATCTGCAGGTATGTGCTTGAAGACACGCTGTGAGAGTGAGAGAGCGAAGCAGCCGGGCGGCATGCGCGGATGGCATGTGCAACGTGACCAGGAGGGTTTGAAGCGCAAGAGACCGAGGGGTGCAAGCGCACGGCCACCTCGGCACACGCCAGCTGCCAAGTGCCAGAAACCTGCTAAGCTTTGAGCAGGTGCGCATATGTTTGAACACTGTGCAGCCAGCACTACAATGTGCTATCTGCGGGCGGTGATGCTGGGCTGGGTGACGGCGTCTCAGGCGCAAACATGAGTGCGGCCAGGGCGGCAGGCGCCGCCGCCACCCGCTTTGTGGGCGACAGCTCAGCCAGCGCTGTGCAGGTGTCTAAGCTCCGCTTCGCACCAGCCGCAAGAGTGCCTGAGATGGGTACACGCACATTGGCTGCTCTGTTTTCCTGGCTGACCATGTCGCTTGGCGGCGTAAAGCTGCTGCTGCCTGCCCACGAGGAGGAGCCAAAAGCTTGGGGGAGGCGCGCTGGCACAGCAGAAGGTGCCCGGGGAGCCGCCGTCGCGAGCTGGGTGGGGACAGCCTCTCCGCAACAAAAGGCGCTCGCTGCAGCCGCGTGCGCCGTGGAGCTACATGGCAGCGGCAATGCCGCCACGTTGTGCTGCTTTGGCAGCGCACCCACGCTTCCGCCAAGCGTCGCACCCAACCCCAGCAGAGGCGACCAGCTCGCGCCGCTCTGGTTGGCATTGCTGGGCACACTGCCGCCAGCTGTGCCGGCCGCCAGGGGCGCGCTGGCCGAAGCGGCAGTGGCCAGGAGAGCTACTGAGTTGTCTAAGCTGCCGCGTGGGGCGCCCTGCAGGCGCCCGTCTGCTGTGTCCACCCCTGCAATGTTTGTCCCGCGTTTGGAAGCTGCCCGCGAGCCCGCCACCTCGTCGCCCGCCGGGTGTGTGCGCTCTGTCTTGCCCGCACCCGTTACGCACTGCTCGCGTTCGGCCGCCGCCGCCACGCTGACCTCCGCGCCGCCTGCTGACGAGCCAGGACGGCCACCCTTGGCAGGCGGATTGTCTGGGCTGGCCAGGCGGCCATCACTGGCCTGCGACAGCACAGGTGGAGTGGAGGACTGCACAGCACAGATCGGCCGCTGCACAAAGGGCGTCGCCGCTTTGTCACAAACATCGTCGAACGTGTCCTTCGGGCCCTGCCAGTGCTTACACCCGATAGATCCGTACGTGTTGAGCACCTGCATGCAATTGGCCGCAGGGAGACATTGCGTTCAGGGGAGGTTCCGGCACTGTGATCCACTATTCGAGCCGCAGCACGTGCACCACCATGCGGCTTTGCTCCCCATGTGCTGCACCTCTTGTTCAGATCAAAAACGTCTGATGGTGTGTCTTCATGCATGTTGGGCTAGGCAAGCGCATTCACCCTTGTCATCACCTCCTGCATTTCCGCGTTGGACGTCATCACTGCTCGCTCCAACTGATCAGTCGCGATGAGCGCCTGGCAGCGCCCTACGACAGCGTCGGCCCAGCACAGGAACGGCCCGCATGTCCTGCCCTTGGCGTCTTTGAACGCATGGCAGCGCCTTGTGCCGCTCATGCCCATGGGGTTGAAGCGGCCGAGGTGGTCAGTTTTGAAGTCGTGCAGATATATGCCCAGCGCCAGCCACTTGATGGGTGCCGCGTACGCCTGTGACCACACGAGATATATTGCATGCAAGGGCAACGACAAAGCCGTCAGCGGCTCTGTAGTGCTTGTGCCGATGACAAGCGCACTCACATGCACGCATGGGCCCAGTGCGTGGTAGGAATGGAGATATTTGAGCTACAAGGGGGCCAGCACTTACCGCGACACGTGCGATGACAGGGATCTTGGCCTCATCAATCGGATCGTGCTCGACGCGCCGCCAATCGGCGCCATCAAACTTCAGAGCGGCGTACAGCAATGACGACTCCACCACCCGTGCGCCAAACGTATCTAGGAAGTGGGCGGGTTGGAGGGTGTGGCAAAGGTTGTAGCTGTCAGCACACTGCTAGCAAAGTGTTTTGGGGCATGACTGCTGTTTAAAGACTTTATATGGGCAAGACGAGAACAGCTTTATGTTGTGGCAAGCAGCGCCCTGAAAGCATCCTCTTAAACAACAGCCCGTTGTCAACAAGGTGGTAACATGCCAGCTGCCAACGAGCTCGACGTCTTGAGGAGCCCTACCAACGGACCCCTAGCTCAGCAGCCCGTCATAACACGGGGTTGCGCAGGGTATGGCCTCCACGCGAGGCCCACGCGCCTGGCGTGAGTGGCGCTATGACCCACCCTCCATGAGAACCAGGCTGTTGTGTTTTGCGTCCCGGCCACAGTAATATGCAGGCCAGAAGGTGTCAGGGCGATCACGCGGCCCGTGGACCCAGACCTTGTCCCCGGGCCCCACACTGCGCAGCTGCAGGATATCAGAAGGCGGCCCCGGCGCCAGGCGGCTGGCGCTTACGATCATCTCCATCTTGATACCCGTACGGGTCTTGAGAGTTTGGTTTTGCAGGTGGCAAGGACGCAGGGCTTTGAAGGTTGACTGCGGCACTCATTCATTGAAAACTGTGCACTTGCAACTGGTGCGAGCGGCACAAGCATGGCGGTCAAGCGCTGCACATGGCGACGGCGTTTTGTACACGCCATGCCTTGCACAAAGATTTCGAAAACATCCACTTACCACTGATACTCTGTACAGCTGCCTCTCGTTCCTATCCTCTGCTATTATCACGTCCATCACCTCGCCGTGCGACCAGCTTGCACTAACCAGCCCGCGATGCTTCACCAGCACCTCATCACCTGTTTTATACATATTTGCTGCTGGCCGTGGTGCACGGGCACCACTTTGACTGACGGTCTATCTCTTTGCCGAGGGTGCCTAAGGTGTCTGCGAAGATATATATACCTTGATATACATCAACGTATAAAAATGGCGGCACAGGTATGCTTCAGACACTCTTGATGCGGCAGTGGAAGAGGCGGTTCAGCAGTGGCAGTGTGTCACTCTCGGGCCTCATTGCTGATTGCGCTGCTAGAATTTTTGAGCGACGAGGGGGTGTGCAACAGGTCGGTGACCTCAACACAGCACTGCACGGGTAAGCTGGGGGTACCCAACCCCAGGTCACTTATCGGGGCATACGTCCCAGCTGGCCACTCCTGCCCGATGTCTGCCCCCACGCACTGACTCGAGTGCACCACATCGCCGCCTCGGCTGGCAGCAGCCGTTGTCACGCCCCACATTGCACCCCAAGTTCAAGGTGTGCGTGCTCGTCGCTGGACTGATTGTGTGACATGAACGCCATATCAATCTACCCTGACTTTTTGTTGGGTACTGTAGATGCACGTCATGAGGTCCACAGGGTTCAAACCCTCCTCTGACAAGCCGTGTGGGGCTTTTTATTAGCTGCTCCAAGGTTTGTCTCTGAGTACTGCAACTCGCTGCACGCGTCGGCTGGATGACAAATGGGGCAACAAGCCAACGGGACACACCTTGCAAACCACGTTTCTGGCACCCCCTGATTCTGGACGGGCCCAGAAGCGTGCGACCATGGGCGTGTAACAATCCTGTCCTATCCTATCTGGTGCTGACATAACACCACAGGCGGCGGGCAACACGCCGCGCTCAGAGATACAAACCGTTCAATGGAAAAAAAGAAAAAAAGCCAGCCAAAAGCAGCATTAGCACAGACGGCAGGGAAAAAGCGACAATCAACTTGAGGCGGTCATGAGCAGATCAGCGCCAACTATACATTCAAACTCTGCAGCGTGTGGGATTGAACCACCACGCCGCACGCAGCGGTCACGCCCCCTGCTGGAGGGGACGTGACGGGGCGCCCACCGGCAATGAAGCCGTCGCCGCTCACACCACCACCCCTGATTGGCAGGACCAACCAAGGGTGCGTGCTCGAGCACGTTAGTGGCGGCCGCGCGCCGCAGCCGCGCCCCTGCCGGGGCATGGCGCGATGAGACGCCCCCCTGCGAAAAGCCGTCGCGGCCGCCTCCACCCCCAATTGGCAAAAGCTATCGAGGGTGTGTGCTCGAGCACGTCGGCGGCCGCGCGCCGCGGCCACGCCCCTGGCGATGGGGGGGACGCGACGGAACGCCCACCGGCAATGAAGCCGTCGCCGCCGCCACCACCCTGATTAGCAAAACCAACCGAGGGTGTGTGCTCGAGCCACGTGTGGCGG